AAACCGAACGAATGTTTTGTAAAAGATCATTTAAACGTTGCACACAATTATAAAATGTATATTATATAAGATATTAATTAAATGATAAATATCCGGTTAGATGAATTACTACAATTCTTTAGTATACCTCATTCTTTACTATTATACATTCTTTTTATCTATTTTAACGAAATTCAATGATTAAAATGAAAGAAAATAGCTTTCCAAAAAGAAAAAAAGAAAAAAGAGAAAAGAAAAAGAAAAAAGCCATTCTAATCTAGTGATACGTTAATACGACGAAAATGGTAATCTCTCTTTTCATCCTTTTTGTTAATATCCATGAATTCGTGTTCGTGTCGTATGATATACATCTATATCGAAGCTCAAAGATCCATTTATATACAACCACGCCATAGCCATTCAGTCTTCCAGTTGAGCGCTGGACTCGAATTGGTTATTGTAGTTTTATATGTAACAGTTTATACATCATATGTGCCGTGTTCATCACCATCCGTTCTCTGGGCGTCCTTCGGTAACATTTTATAGCCTCCGAGTTATATTTTGCTTGTTTCTGGGTCTCACCATGAAAAGACAACCAGAGCACGGACTTGTATAAACCTATCTGAACGCGTCTTATCCGTGCATGACGCTATAACGTCTGGCCTCAAATTGATCGTCACATCCATGAACGGTCACCAATCGTATATAAATGTTTGGACACGATACGACCACGATACGATTATATATATATATATATATATATATATATATATATATATATATATATATATAAATAGAGATTAAGTCTCTGAAAATCGATAAAAGCTTAAAATACATTGCTAAGACCAGTTAGTTGTAACTCCGATAACGACAATTTCGAGGTTTTCTTTTTAAAAAGGAAGAAAATTTAATAAATATCTACGATCTTTATTGATATAAAAAACACATAAAAAAGGATAATGAATGATTTAGAAGTTATCATTTATTACAATGAAAAAGAATTAAATGTATTCTATAAGTAAACTCTTCTTAGATTCATATTCAGTATTTTGCATAAACGATTTTTCTTTTCGGTCAATTTTCTTCGTGATAAATTTTTTATGTAGATCTAGAAACGTTCGTCGACAGTTTATATCGGAAGTCCTACAACGATCTATACTGAGTCCTACATTGATCGAATAAAACGTCGCGACGATTCGATAGCGTATTTTCTTGGCTTTCATGTTGCAAAAAGAAAATAAAAGGGCCAAAGAGTGTTTTTACGAAATTCTCTTATATCTATTCTCTCTCTCTCACTCTCTCTCTCTCTCTCTTTCTCTCTCTCTCTCTCTCTTCCTTTCTCTCACTCTTTCTATAAATTAGAACTTAACTAACTGGAACAAGGCAAACAATGGAAAGGTATAAAAACGATAAATAGTGGCACGTGTCTAGGCTCGGTTTGTGCGTGTTAAACTAATCCCAACGAGTCGAGGAAAAGTCGTGAGTTTGGAGAGAAAATAATGTGATAAACTACCTCACCGAAATACAGTTTGCTTCCTTCGTATCAACATTCAGTCAATACCGTTTCTTTCTGTTAGCTATTTCATCGATATAATGTGATTTACGATATACGAAACGTCTTTTATTTGTTCATTCCATATTAGACACATAACGCGAAGAAATTAAGTAAATACATTTACATGATATTTTTATTGCAAGGATGTTCACTATTTTTATTTCAAAAAATGTACTAAAGAACAAACCAAACTTCTAAATAAGTGTTTTATTATTAATATTATTATTATTATTTTTCTTTTTTTTTCATAAAAATATTCTCTTATGGATATTAATTCCAGAGATGGATATATCAATGTGGGAGATAAGTCACTAGATCTTTCGGATAATTTCTTTTTTTAGAGATGCTTTTGAGAGAAAGGGAGGAAATTTTGTTAATGACTTACATGTTGCTTTATAATGCTTCCCTACCAGAGATTGTTTAATTTATAACGAAAATATTGTATCATTCGAAATAATCTTTGTTGCTGTGAAACGTAAACATTCGTGGCACTGTTTCGAACGAGCCTCATAAAGTGGACAATACTAATATTCCTCAAACAACAAATCATACTTATCTATTATAATTAATACTTAAAATAGGATACGAAGAATCCATACACATAAACAATGATAGGACACTCTCATTTGGATTACTTTATTAGACTGCCGTTTATTATATAATTAAATAAAACAAAATAAATTTCATTGTTTAATAATTTGGTGAAAATTGTATACCGGTAATATTAATGATTTGTTAATTTTTTTCATTTGCACTTAGCAAAAACACGATATATAAACCAACGTTTTACTTGGTCAAGGTAACCGATACGCAAATATGAATTTCATGTATAATAATTACGGGAAAATAACTTTAAAAAATATGAAAAGAATGTTTTAAAGATACTAACAAAATCTATTTACGGACTAAGTCACTTTAAAAACTGAAAGCGTAAATACTTCAATAAAAACTAACATAGGCGAGGTAAAGATTTTTATCTGAAACTCATCATTTTCATGATATGGAGATAGTCGATATTTTGTTTAAATGAAATTTAATGTTTTTACTTATATAAAAATTTATTGATTGAAACCAAGGTAAATTCGTAACCTACTCTCCTATTTTGATCATTATTAATAAAAGATATAACCTTTTAAAGCTTATCGATGCAATAGATCTATTTACAGCATTATTAGTTATAGACATTTAATTTTTATATTTTGTAAAGATATTTTTTTAGTCAATTTTTTTTCTATCATAAAAAATAACCAAGATATATATTCACGCTTTCAATTTTAGATGATCTATACAATGGTTCTTAAATACTCAAGTACCCGGTTCTATCTTGAAATATAAGATATTACTCAAGTACTACTGTATCCGGATACTTGGTAAGATACCCAGGTAAATAAAAAATACAAATCTGATAGAGTTACAGCCATACTTATATTGCACATATTTTCGAAGACCGTAACTTTCATTTTACTATTGATTTTCAATCGCTGCAAATATTGTTAGCTCAAAATATAATTGTCTATTAATTGAAAATGTTGCTTTATCGATGTAACTATACAAAAATAAAAATATCTAATTTAAAATAATTAATTGTTTTATAGTTTTATTATCTCATAGAAAAATATAAGTTATCTGAAACATTGTAACTACCCTGGTAGCATTTGTAGAGTACTCGAGTATTTTTCATATTCGGGTATTTTTTATTTAGTCGATTAATAACAATATACGCGTAATTTACAACTTGTAATTACGAACGATAGATCGCAACTGTAATTTCATGAAACGAAATTTATTGATACTATTTAATGTTTTGATTTCGAACTTATTGAATATATATAATATACGACTGAAGAAATACTTCTTTCCTTTCTTGCAAGTAAAAAATAGATTTTTTATATTTCTTGTAGGATGGTTCATAAAGGTTAAGTTCCCTCCAAAAATTGACTATTAGTTAGCCCCCTTCTTCCGCATAAAAGATGATAGTGAATTTTCTGCAAACTCACTTAACGAATTTTCCCACGAGAGAATCTCTATAAATCCGGCAAATAAATGTTTTATTGTTCTGGAAAATCCCCTCGCGTCTTTGATATTTGACGCAATCCACGCGTTTTTGTGATTTACGTGATTTCTTGAGACTTTCCCCTAAACATTTAAAATACAGTCTGCAGAAACTTTTGTCGTTGTTGAATTCATAAATAATAAATGTTTAAATAAATTCCAAATTTGGTGAAGATCCACAATCTTTGCGTATTCTAAAAAAGAAAAAAAAAGGAAAAAAGAAAAATACTGATGCGTATTTTATATCTGACACTCTATGATTTATGTAAATTGATAATAAGTTAAAATAATAAGTACGCACCTTTAATAAGCGAAATGGTCGCCTTCAATTTTAATGAAACTTTACAGATTGAGGTAAAAAAAGAGACGTGTTTTTTCTTATATATTTTTGTCTTTTTCAGCTGTCTTGTAAAGTAATCGAAAGACTAAAAAATACTATACTAAAAGAAATTTATTAGGTGGGTGCAAAATTAATTGCGATTTTTATATGTCAAGTGAAATGATAAGAAAATCCAATTATTTTCGTTGAAAAAACAATTATCAACGGAACAAAAGAATTTTTCAAAAATCGTTATTTTTCTAAAAAAAGAACTTTTTGTGACCTTTATATTTTCTAATATATGTATTTCTTTTACTTTCTAAGAATTTTATTACTTATTTAATTCTGCAAATATATAAGTCTCTGTTATAACTTAATATATATATATATAAATTTATGTTTTATATATAGCAGCTAATTCATCAACACGATAATACAATTATGATTATTAAAATTAATCATAAAACGATGATTAATGATTATGAATCAATTGAATTGTGCTATATTGCGTATATTCCGTTATTACACACACATACATATTTAAGTTATATCTATATACGATCTATGAATTTATCCTATCGTTCAATTGTTCATTTCTTGCTTAGAATTTACAAGAGTCTTGAAAATACGTAGGAATAAAATATTTCCCTATTTTACTCGTACGTCATATCTTTTTCTTTGGCTAGTAAGGATACGGAGATCCCTCAGATAACATCAAACAGGACTTCGAGCAGTAATTAGGATGTAAAGCAAGACATTACGAGAAAATTTATTCCACGCGAGACTCGTAAAGCGACATCTCTTAGCTTGAAGTATAGCACTTCATGCAAATTCACAATGATAACAACTTGTATCGTTTGATGAATTAATCATAATGAAATAGATTGAAAGCTAGACAATCGTTCGGTCTAAGTTTTATTAATTGTTGACATTAAATCTCTTCATTATCATTTTACATTTTTATCTTAACTAGATATTAAGATTATTATTATTATTACTGTTATTAATATTATTATTATTATTACTGTTATTAATATTATTATTATTATTAAATTATTATTAAATTATTATTAAAAAAACATACATTATCACGAAGCAGTCTCATATATGAAATGTTATATGAATCATATATTAATTTTTTAGAAATATTTTTGGATTAACATAAATTAATAGAAAATAAACTTCAAACGGAAGTTCTATGCTAACTCTAGTTACGATTAAGGGCGAAAGCAGAAGCAAAACAATTTCACGAAAGTAGACGTTGTAATAAGGTTGCTAATATATAATCTAGATGACATTGCAATTTATGTAATCGACGAAGGAAGTTGTTGCCGCGTATCTCAGGTTAATTTCAAGCTTCATTAATATGTAGGTATGATAAAAACAAAAAACTAAAGGGAAATAGAAATAGTTTTCGTAAAGAGGATTGTCTTTTACAATAAATATTTTGATAAAGATATTTTTAATGAATTCTAAGTCATAATTTCGTAGAAGAAAAAGAATGTTTCACACGAGATATCACTTTCAATCAGTAATACAAAATACGGTCTAAAAAACTGATGTTACGAATAATAAACAATATATAAATGTAATATATTCCATGTATTTACATATATTCGTTACATATCACACAACGTTAAAAATTCCGATTATTAATACTAGTCGTCTATTATTAATACTAATTGTGCAACAATTTTGATAATAGTCTAATGTATGAAAATAACGAGCAAAGAAAAAAAAATATTCAAGTTTGACTTTGTTAATCTCAAAAAAAATAGGTTAAACTTTGATAACGTGTTGTCGATAAGTTATTTGAAGCAATAGATACATATGCAAAAAATTATTTTGCGAACTATTGTTATGTATAAGCTAATACATATTGCATGTATTTGTAAAAATACTAAACAATAAACATATATGCATGTATTTCGCTGTCGAGCTCATAAATGCGACCAAGGATCTAAATAATTTTCAAGATCCCTTTAACATGTTTTGATCGATGATGTGTGCTGAATGTGATGTTCATCAAAGTCGAACATACAAGATGATTCAGATAAGGAAGTGAATGAGTAAAATAAATTGATACCGGTTAGCGAGTTCACTACCATTCCAATTACGTACGAAGATGGAATCATAAATAGTATCTCCAAAAGAGGAACGTCAAAACGTGACGGATCGATATGGTCCTCGACGTTTCGATTTAACCTTCTATCTTCTCGATCTTATTTGACGAGAAACGAATATCGACATTTTCCGTTTCAATGAACTTTCCGGGTATTAATCATATTGAATGGTCTGCTCTGGCAATTTGAATTTATTTCCTGGAATATAATTTATAATCAAAATTTGACCAAACAACGAGATAATTCGAATTAATTTATAATGAGTATTAATTCGTAATTTTTTGGAATTAATGAAAAAATGCCAAGTTAATTACAAACTCGTTATACTATGTTGAATTAAATGCTTTATTTCCTTTTTTTTTCTTTTTTTTTTTTCCTTTAATATATGTAATTTCCTTTAATATAGATAGTATGTCTTTATTATAAATTATTAGGGTCGATAGAGGAAATCATTATCAACAACTTTCATATAGGAACGCGTGTCTGGAAACGTTTCGTTTGGTAATTACTGAACATGATGTAGGTGCTAACCAGTTTAAATAATATAGCAGAATAATAATCCAAAATGTTCGTTATTTCAATATAAACTTCATTAAGGACACAACAATGGTTAGTTATGTTAGAGAAAATATTCTAACAACGAACATCAAGTTCTTTAATTGCCAAACAAAACGTTTTCATATATGGGTTCTACATGAAAGTTGTTTATAATGATCTCTGTCATCCCTAAAAGTTTGAAACAAACTCACAGTCTGTAGAGAAAGAGGCACACACACAGAGAGAAAGAGAGAGAGAATCTGGTACTACAGACATTCGTATTTTCATTTCCTTGTAGAGCTGCAATTTTATGTACTTTTTTTTATATTCCTTTGCACAAGTTTATTGGCTGTTCAACAAAATTTTTAGATCTCGATATTTGAATCGTTTGTCACTGTAGATCGAAATAAGCAGATAGTCTGTAATTTTTCTATCGAATATGTTGCAAATATTGTCAATTAAATTTATAAGAGATAGAAATTTACGAGTATCAAACAGTATACACAGTGTCATGTAATTCACACGTTTTTCAAATAGACATTGATAACAAAATAAATAATTTGATGTTGATAAATAACTTTCAAGTGAATTTATCAAAATAATATGTACAACCGTTTTCAGCTCATCAAATATATCAAAATGAGTTTTAAAAAATAGTAATAAAAAATTTTTTTACGTTGTAATTATATTTATCATAAAATAAGTGAATCATGATTTATATAATTTCGAGAATAACGTAAAAAAGCACCCGTTATGTTCAAAATTTTATAATTTATTTAAAATTTTATGTTTAAAATTTTAATTAAAACAAAAGAAGCGCATACACTTTGAGAATTATGTTCTAAAGAAGATCGTGGTTATCAGTTACATGAATATAATCTTAATACATTTTAATCAATGTTTCTCCTTGAAAATTCCACGAGCGAGCAAATATATCTTAATCATTTTTATCAAGTCACATCGATCAAACGAAAGAATCGAGACGAAAGAGGAATAGGCATATGGTGCGTTTCGCGGAATGATAAAGCTCACCTGAAAATTGTAATCGTTGACCAATAAGCATCGAGGAGAATCCTAGTGTTGACCAATCAACGATACGTCCTTATCGCCGCGCGAAGGAAATGTCGAGTATATAACCACTTATCCTGCTACGTTCAAGTCGAGTGAAATAGGTACGCACGAGTTCGTATCCATCGATAGAGCGAAATAGACAGAGAGAAAATTAAATAATTGTATCCGCATAGAAGTGAGAAAGAAAAAAGAAAGGGAGAAAGAGAAGGAGAAAAAGATAAAGAGTTATAACGAAGATAAAGAGTTCGAAGGCGAAAGAGATAAGAAAAAGAAAGAGATAGAAAATGTACTTATATCTTCTTTTTTAAAAAGAAAGACAGAGAAAATATTACTACTCTTATCGAGTTACAATAATCATTAGAAGGCTGTTGTTCTCGGAGCTCGAAAGCACGAGAAAGAGAGAGAGAGTGAGAAAGAAAAACAGAAAAAGAGAGAGGGAGAGAGAAAAAAAGAGGGAGGGAGAAAGAGAGAGAAGAGTGAAAGAGCAAGAAACTACGGTCGGAGAGCGGATGTCCTTTTCTTTCTCTGTCTAACTCGAGCGCATATGTCGTAGTAATAGCCGGTGTGTCAGTCGATTGACCGATCGTTGCTCGGCGCGGATCGGTCGGTCTCGCGACTAAGGGGGCTTCGCGTGCCCATAAATCCTTGTAAAAAAGTTAAATTCTAATTTGTTACAACATTCTATCGATTATTACCGTCAAGTGAAGAAAAAGAGAAAAAGAAAGAGAGAGAAAGAGAAAGAGAGAGAGAGAGAGAGAAATAAAAAAGAAAAGAAAAAGAGAAAAAAAAACGTAGAGATGGCGATTGGAATTCTTTTGATTTTGGGTATAATTGCTGCTTCGGGCAGCGCAGCTTCCATTAGGAGAGAGAACAACAACAGTCCGGACCTCTGTATCAGGTGAGCGAAAGAAGATCGTAAAGGTCTCTCTATAATTTAGATTTATATTTCTATCACATTGAACCCAATGCCAATTATAACGAGACATTCAATGAAGTTATTTTGTATTTTACATTTATCCTTATCTTTCGTTTTCTAATAATTTATTGATCGACTCTCTTCAAATCTTCTATCTATCGATCTACCGAATCGAATCTATTCTTTCTTTCTACAAGTTCGAATGTAAAAAAGCAAGTTTCGTTCGTTTTTTTTTTATTTATTTTGTCTTATATAACTCAAAATCCACGTTTGCCTTTCCATCTTGATAGTTGTAAAAACGTTATACCCAAATTCGTCTCACTCCGGCAAGACAGCGATATAAATCGAATTATACAAAATGTTTCTTTTTTCTATGCAACTTCTCGCATTCCTCGAGTCGTTAATGCGATAAAAGTTGAACGTTGTTAAATTGCTCGCTAGAATACCATTAAAAAATGTAAATGCTAATGTTAGCGTTTACTTAGTATACGAAATGTTGAAAATTATATGAATATTCGATTGGAGTCTTCACTGTTTACGTTTAAACTCGTTCAGTTAGTAATGGACAGTCCACTGCATATATTTTGATTCTTTTTCAGATATATATATATATATATATATATATATATATATATATATATATATAAGAATTATATTACTCTGCAATTGAAAAAAAAAAATTTATTTGAAATTCTATTCTCATATTTTCTTATGATTTGTAATTTTGAAAAGAAAGAGTAGTAATGGATTCATCAATCTAATCTTGTTTATACTTTCAAGATAAGTATATCATCACATAACAAGATACATTCCTCACTTTATTATTTTCTTATAAAAAAATAATAAATAAATGCAGATAGCGTAACAACTTGAGATAGAAAAAAAAAAGAAATTATTCATTATCATATAACACCTTTATCACGAAATGTTTTTCATAAAACTAAAGTTGATGATAATCTTAAGGATAATCGTATGGTTTTATGTATATATATATAGCCGTGGTTTTGTATGCAATTTTCATTGATCATACAAATATTTCAATTCTTATTGTGTGATAGTTTGACTGGCTAAGTTATAAAACAAGTTACAAAGTTCGTCTATCTACAGTAATTTTTAATATAATTTGAATCCATAAGTATTTGACTTTGTTTTCCTGTTTCTTGTTTTTCGTTACTAGTTATTCAATAATTTCAAAAATAATTTCGAGCAGGAAAATTTTTGTAAATATAACAAGAAAATACAAACTAGTAATCAAAGAAATGATTGAAGATGATATTCTTTGACCATGACATTAAAACAAACGTCCATGATTTCTTTAATGATTTGTTCATTGATCGCTTTGAGTATATACATTCTCATCAAACGATAATAAATATGTAATTGTTTCTTATCGCTTCAAAGATAATGATAACAAATAGACGAGAAGAAATAAAAAAGAAAATTCAAAGATACTTATTATGCTACATAACTATTTTTTCTTCCATTTGATGATACTCTTATCGCTTCTGATTAATCGATAATTTTGTAAAAGTCATGTATTTTTTTTCTTTTATCTTTGATAACTAATCGTTTCAATCGAAGAAAGAACTTTTCTTCTCTGCTTTTTTTTAACGATAAATTTTTTTAACGAAATAAGGTAATTGTTATCTACTTTTCATTTGATCGATTCAAAGTCGTTTACTTCGACGTGAAGTATGTAATATCATAAATATTATCAATTTCTGATTATTATTATTTACTTATTCCCCAATATTTTAAATCTTTATAAAAATTTTTTAATTTAATATTTTAGATCGTATCAATATATCTATAAAATTATTATCAATCGAACTCTTTCTATAATTATTTTGCACAATAGTATTTAATTTTTGAAATAATTCTACGATACTTTTACATATTTGAAAAATTACAATGTTGGAAGAAAATGAAAAACAAAGATATTCTGTAAAAGACGTAGTTTATCGATGTTATCATCGAATACATGAAAATAATTATCTTCGGATACATGCAAAAATAATGATTGAATTAAGACACTGTTATGCTACTCAACGGAAAAGAGAAGAAAGAAAATACAATTGTTTAAAAAGGTTTAAAAAATTGGCGGCGATTTTATCACGATAAGAAATCCTTGATTCGTCTTTAATTTGGTGCTTAAAACCTGTTAAATCTTCATCAAAGTATATAATTCGATTACATATCTGTATACTTATAGAAATTTTTATATAAGTACACATAAAATGGATTTTTATTTTTAATTCCATTGTTTTATTCGATCCACCGAAAAACATTTTAAAATCAAATAAAATTTTTGTGTGAAAAAGTTTTGCGTGAAAAGAAAAGGAAACAAAAAAAAATATAAACAAAGAAATACGTGAAATAACAATTGATTGACGTTACAAAAGATTTTTCAAACGATTTCATAATTGGCTATTTTCTCGTAATCATGGAATTCTGAACGAAATTACATCGCGGTGGATTTGTCATTGATAACGTTGCTAGTCATCGTCGATAACGTTGCTTGTATCGAGAGGAAATCGAAACATGCCAAGTTTGCACGAATTTGCAATTCAGAGATCGTTTCTTTCGTAATATCCATTGATCGATGGCAATTAGAGATAATAATGATTGTCTCATTAGATTCCAGAATTTATATAGTTACCGATCGTCATTCTTTCTCCTCTTCTTTATTCTTTTCCTTTTATTTCTTTGTATCTTTTCTTACATACCAGAATATAGGCATAAATGGTATCAAAAAAAAAATATATATACATATATATTTTATATATAGACCTGCTTGATCCGATAGATTACGTTTTATGCATGTCGATTTCCATTGGTGACAAAGAATAAATGAGTAACATTGGTAAACGTTATCCATACGAATTGGGATAAGCCTTATCATCGGAACATATGTGGAATTGGACACATCGACAGAAAGAAGGGAAAGAAAACGAGCACATCCGGAAGGTCCCACATCCATCGACTCATGATTCGTTTTCCCGTGTTATATATTTTACAATTCCCTATATACATACACACACATATAAATATATATATATATTATATATATATTGACTCGAATCGTCCAAACGATTATCACATCGACATAATATCTTAAATTTCTCTTTTCAGAGATTTTCTATTTGAAATTTTTCTATTTGAGCCTGCTATCATGATATATTTGAAAATTCATAAAAATTTATTTTGTCTTTTAAAAGATAAAAGAAAGTTGTTATAATAATAATCATTTAGTTTTATTATCTTTTCTTTCGATCTTTTTCAAAAATTTCTTTATATCAATTGCTACAATATGAGAAATAATCGATATGAATTTTGTTCTATAAACGGTTAACAATTTATACTTTTGTTTTAATTAAATAATAAACTTCGCCAAATATAATGTGGGTTTATACTTTCTCTTTCTTTTTTCAATTTTATATTTAATATCTAATAATTTAACTAAACGATATGATAGGAGTTCCTAGAAATATTGAAAGTACAGAGCATAGCGAATTAAATAGAAACCGAGGTTATTACGTGCCGTTCATTCGTATTAGTTGAAACTCTTGAAACGAGCTGCGAGGCAACAACAATGACCTTTCACTGAAATCATAGGTAATTATGGAGATATTTATCATCGGCGTGACACGAATTCTATTTGACGCACCTCTATGCATACAATGCTCCTTATTAAATTGTAAAATTGTACAATTTCATTGTTTATTACTGTTTTATTAATTAATAAACTCGCGAAAAATGTATTATATAACAATATAATGTAAGTTATAAATATTTGAAGAGAGGCATAATTTTAAACAAAACTTTAAAGTTTTTTTATTAAAAATTATTCTATTTTCTTAAAGAATAGAATTTGTCTTAAGATAATTAACGAACTGTATCTTTCTCTCTTCTATTGTAACTAAACAGAGAATATTTGTAGATCCATTATTTTGGATTTATGTTTCTTCAATGTTGTATCTTTTGATGCTTTACAGCTTCTATGAAAGAATATTCGGAAATTGTATTTAAAAAATAATTACTAACATACATCATGGAAAATGAAGATTTGTCAATGAATTTTTGCAGGTCCACTTAGATGAATTTATTTATTGAAATATGTCGAATTAATACATTTGTATTCTTTAACGTTTTTCATCGACGAAAAAAATAGTAAATTATTAGAGAGAAAATATAGTATTATTTTAGTATTATCCCGTAGTTTCCCGTTATCATGAAATCTCAATTTTCTTCATTTCTTGAGGAAAAGATAAAGAAAGAAGATTAAAGCTTTTAGTAAAAAAGACTTTCCTTAGATAAATTCGTTCCCAAAACGAAACGATATGAAATTGATTAGTCGATCAAAATCATGTCTTTCTTTTTTTTTATTATAAAACGTCCGTAATTAAAATTTGTATAATCCAATCGTATTACGCCTGTAAAAAAAATTATCGCATATCTCGAATGCTTCGTGCTTCGTAATAAAAATTTTCTATTATCTATTTTAGCCCCTTATTGACGGAAAATATAAATAAATTTATAGTAACGTTCGATTCGTGCTTACCCATCAAGGAACGTAAATAAAAGAGAATATAATTTTAAATAAAACATTCAAATAAATTTCCAATATAAAATCGATAATAGATTTAAACGTTTTCAATAATAAAAACTATAATAATTTACATAGTTACGGAGATAAATTAAATGGGACACGATAAAAATACTCTAGAGAGTAATTTTTTTTTCTTCCAAAAGGATAAGATCTAAGCTAATTTAAGAATAATTCAGTCCTTTCCACTTTCTCTTTTAACTAGTGACATCGAACAAAAGGAGAAAAATCGTCCTTCTCGGGGGTAGAAAGTTTGTCACGATACCCAAGGGGTGAAATTTGCAATGAAGTAGGGCTGGTTTAAGCCGGTATAATGTCTCCATAAAGACTTGTTTTATGAGCATGAAAGAAGCATTTTTGTTGGTGGACTGTATAC